TTTTTTTTTCTTTTTAAAAGGCAAGAATGTTCTTGCACAAAAGTAGGTTAAGATAACCGAGTTCTCATAAATTTATTTACTGAATCGAAACACTTCCGTTTGGCAAGAAGTTCCATCTGTCGTAGTTCCCCTCCTTGCACTTCGGATGGGGCTGCACCTGGAAGAGCTCCAGCAATACTGGGACGAGACAATTTCATTGCAGGTGGAGTTTGCTGCCTTATTTCTCTTCTTCTCGTGTCAAAAAAACCTCAAATTCGGTGGGACATTGCATGGATTGGGGATTTGGTGAGTTTTTGGGAGATTGRTGTGAAAATCCACGTTCCTGGTTCTCAGCACTTCAGATCCTTCCTTGCCAGGAGCGTGGACTTGGGGGACCAGGACACTTCCAGGAGGTGATGTTGATCAGAAAYGATGGAAAAACACCCCAAAAATCCCCATTGAGTCATTTTTAGTCTGTGAGAGGTTGAGCTCTGGCCCCCTTGTCCAGCACATCCATGGCACGGGTGGCACGGGTGTCACTGTCCCCCCAAGGGTGGCACTGCCCTGGTGGCCACGTGAGGGGTCAAGCTTGGCAGGACCAAGCCCTGGGTGTGCAGGGATGTGCCCCAAAACCACACTGACCTCACCTGTGAGCTGCAGGGCTCAAAACAGCTTCAAAACCACGGGAAAACAGGAGCACTGCAGCCTTTCCATCACTCGTGGGCCTGTCCAGAACACAAAATTGAGCTTAGCAAGCCGGGGATTTATTTATTTTAAGATTTTTAGCTTTTACAGAAATAACCAGCCCTTTTTTTGGGTTGATCTAACCTTGGCTAATGCCCCACAAATGCAGTTGGGGGTCAAAGCTGTTCCTTTAGGGGGGCTGSTGGCACGAGAGGTGGAAAGGAGAGAATTTCGTTCCCCTCCTGGCACCAGGGAAACACCGAGCACTTCAYGGACTGAACTTTGGGCTTTGAGCTCTTCCCAGATCGGTTCTCTGCGTGTCTCTGTGTCTGTGTGACAACCTGGTACTTGAAAAAAAAAAGAGAAAAAAAAAATTTTAGGAAATACTTGATCCTCTGCCTCGTGCCTGCAGGGCCGGAATGGCCCCGACTGTGTCACGCACAAGCGGCTTTGCCGACTGCCCACCAGCAGGCAGATGGAATTCTTTTCCAGGCTTGAAAAACCACCTATTGGGGTGGTTCTAGAGATGCCAAAACAGCAGTTCGAGGCCTGGAAAACATAAAGGTTTTGTTGTTTTTTTTAACCTTTTCCTGTTCAATTTTGTGCTTCCTCTAACRTGGTTCGGGACGAAAGCGTCGTTTTTCGACGATGGGCTGAAAAGAGGCGAAGGTGGAGAGGGAAGGCAGCTTCCTGCTGTGCTCATAAGTGATCTGCCACGCTTCATACAGGGTAAATATTTCACAATTTGCARTGGGAATCATGGGTGGAACCTCACTCCCCAAGAGGATTTGCTCCCGGAGATGTGACCACCACCCCGAGGCCACGGGGTCGGGCTCGTGAGTGCCAAACTGAAAATCCTGGTGAGCAGCAGCTTCTCCAGCAACCCAGCTCGAGCAGGGTGATTGTGGAAACCACCTCTGATTCCCAAGGGTTCTGCTGTCAAAAAGATGGAGGTGGCAGAGTAGGGATGGTGTTTTCTGTCTGAACCTTGGCTGTTTTGCCGTGGGATGGGATGTTCTTGCTAAAACGAGTTTCCATTGTTTCCTGTCTTCTACACCAATATATATATGGTGTATATATTAAACTGTGTAAAATTGTACTTTGTACATAGAACTCTGTACAATATGGAGGTACAGCCCTTTTTTTTTTGTTTGTTTTTTTTGTTTGTTTGTTTTTTCTCCCCTTTTTGGTACAGTATTGTACAGTATTAGGAGTCGATGTGTTGGAAGTGTTCAATCCATACTTGGGGCGCAACGAAAATGTATCCATTGTCATTAGCAATAGTTTTGGAGAAATAAATGTTTTGGGTATGGTGGAAACACTGACCTGAGGGTGCTGCTGTGTGATGTTTGGAGTGGCTGCGTGTGGGAGAAGGGCTGAGCATCGCCTGGAGGGGTTTGGGATCCTCAGGGATGCTGTTGGGGTGGGTGAGGAAGGATCTGTAGGATTTTGGAACACCCAGTGCCATTCTTTGATGGCAGCAGGGTGGGAGTGGGGACACAAAGGATGTGATTGGGCAAGGGAATGGCCAGAAGGTTGAAGTGGAATAGATTTAGGTGGGATATTGGGAATTAATTCCTCCCTGGGAGGGTGAATCCTGGAATCCTGGATCTCTGGAAGTGCCCAAGGCTGGGTTGGAGCACCCTTATGGGGCAGAGAAGGTGTCCCTGCTCGTGGCAGGGGGTGGAATGATAAAACCTGAAAGGTTTTTTCCAACCCAATGCATTCCTGAGATCCTGAGGTTCCTCTGATTCCCAATTCCAGCCCATGTTCCCCCACCCCAGACTCGCACGCACCCACCGCAGCAGAATTCCCTGGAGCCAACACTTCCCTCGCTGTGACCTGATTTAAAAACGCTTAATCTTCATCGTTTTCCTGCAGAGCAYGGACCCCGACTGTCTCGGGAAAGAGGATTTAAGGTTGGGATTATGGATTGGATCATTATTATCATAACCAGCTTTCCCCCATCTCGCGTTTTCAATGGGCCTTTTTGGGAGCCTGGAGGGGGAACGTGGCAGGGCTGTGTCATTTTGGCTTCTTTTTGTTCAGATTTCGAGGAATTATTTATTTAAGGTGAGGTTTGATGTTAAACAGAGGGATTTTGTCCCCACAGAGAGCTTTCCTGGGCTCCCCATCCCACCTCTCCTCCTGTAGGGTTCAGGAGCTGCAAATCCG